CTTAGCAGAATTGAGATTGCTGTTTTTAGAAAAACTTGCTTGCAAGGTTGGGCCTTGGCTGGAGTTTGGGAACTTGGCTTTTTCTCTGCTTGCTAAAAGATAAGAGTAGCTCATTGTACCTATAGTGTTTGTACAAACAGCGTGATTTATGCTGAACACCTGATTTCCTTCTGGGAATCTGGAATTTTGATATGTGCCAGGCAGAGTGTACCTACATGACCAATCCCCAGTAATAAATCTTGTATACTGAGTCTCTAATGAGCTTCCCTGGGCAAAAACATCACACACATGTCACTACATTTTTGTTGCTAGGGATAAAGTATGCTCTGTGTGATCCCTCATAGGAGAGAGAGAGCATAAGGAAGTCTGCATGTGGATTCCTCCAGAATCTGCCTGTATCATTTTATGTTATGATCCAGCCATGTATTTTTACTACTTTAATAAGTTTCAGCCATGGATGCAACTATATGCTGAGCCCCACGAGTCATAGCAAATCTCCAAATGAGGGGTCTTGGGGACCCTCATCCACTGACACAGGTGGTATTACTGCTGCTCCTGCTGCTGCTTCTGCTGCTTCTTGGATCAGTATGATGTTTTGCTTCCTTTCCCAAGAGCCACATTATAGCAAATGGTGCCAGAGTTTCCCTAGTTATACTGAGTAAGCTAAGCAGAATGTTGATTTTTTTGTTTTCAAATAAAATGTTTTGGAAAATATAACTGAATTATTCTCTATTTTATATTTAATTTTGGAATACAAATGTCTACATAAAGTGGGAGGACAGATTTGATGATTACTCAATTCTTTACTGTTCAAAGCTTCTGAAATTCTACAATTATAGTGAGCCAATATTAATTCCTCCGAGGTTTGGTCCAGGTAATATTATAGTCCATATGCTATGTGACATAGATGAGGTCAGACAGTATATGGTGTTCTTTTTGCAAATGAGTTGTGGTTATGACACATGTGACAGAAGCTCACTACATATCAAATCACTATCTTTAGTGACATTTTCTAACTCATAAATATTTGAAGATACAAAGTAAATTGGGTCAAAGTTTCTTACTGGCTGTATATTATTTCCTATGGAATATCTGAAATTATCAATTGGTCTCCAACTTCTTTTCACTGCCCTGAATGAGAAAGTGGAAAGCTGTAAATTCCAATCTGGGGATCAGCGTAGTATTTAGCAAATGAACTCTGTCTGTTCCTGTGTCTCATGTCCCAACAAAATTAAGAAGAGATGAGAATGGCATATCAATGTCAAAAGTCAGCTTTAGTGCTTTTCTGATCCCATTATCCACATCACTATCAGAAGCACAGCAAAGGCCATGCTGTAAAACAAATGTTGGTGATTATTGAACTTACTTAGTGGTGTAAATTACAGTTTGACTGAAAAGCATGAAACAAAATACACGTCACATTCTGAGTAACATTTGTGTTATTATAATTGGTTTATCTGGAGCATGTCTCAATTTTTTAGCTTAAGTGTTTCAGAAAAAGAATGGATCATTTAGACATGACAAATGCCAGGAAAAATAATAAATATTTTTTCTTCTCTTTCTGGCCTTTTGTTTTGCTTCTTACTGTTATCCAAAAGGTGCTACCACTGAGAGAAAACCAATCTGACAGAGTTCTAACAGTGATTGCGCTAGGCAGACAGCTTTTTATACTTTCCCACTCTGACGTATCTTTAGAGGTCAAACCGGCCTTCTTCACCCTTGACTGCTGTCTATGGGACCTTTAAGAGATGATACTACTTACTGCTTCATTACTCTGTTACTTTTTATTACCCTTTATAGTAAGCCACTGATTTTCAATTAGAGACTTTTACTTCTTTGGTTACCAGGAAGAAAAATAGGACTCTAGGGGGAAAAATCATTAAAATTAGTATGCCACAAATTTGAAAATACTTTGAAATCATTTTTACACAGAACAAGAAATAATTAGTAATTGTATACATTTGAGGCTTTATTAGCAATTAACCAGTGTTCATAATGCTGTCCTGCATTCTCACAGTAAACTAGGAATGGAAGCTAGTGTTTTCTGTATGATGGAAAGAGCAATGGAGATGGCTCATGCCTTGTTTATTTTTACTTATCTCTAGGCCATTGTCCTCCAGCAAGTTGCAACACTTACAGTAATCCTTATATTGGCAAAAAATAACGTGGACGGGGAAAAGAAGGGTGAAAGTGAGATCAAAGTACACCATTTCAAAATTCACCAGAAGATAGATGAGGAAATATGTTTTAACAATTATTCTAACAATGACAGCAACACCCATGACATATTTTTTTCAGCATGAGTTTACCCCATTCACCAAGTTCAGCAACCACACAATCATTTTTCTTACAAAAGAGGCCATGGATAAACATAGTCCCATGATAATCCCAGCTGTAATTTCTGTAATCAGAATGTTGTATAAGCAAGATTCATGAGATATCATCATTAAAGCATATTTATTTTTATTTCCCACCATTTAAACATTAATGGAAGATGAAAAATTGGGCAGTTCCAAGATTTTCTGCTCACTCTTAAGTGATAGAAATTCCTAAAGTTACTTAGAATATCTAATTCCATGTAGAAATCAGAGCTTCAACTTCAAAGTTGCACCTAATCCCCTCTCCTAGCTATGGCCTTCTGGAAGCAAGAACTTGAAGTTCGGTAAGGGAGATTCATTTCTTCTTTCTTTCCCCACTCCTCATCTCTCAGTTTTCTGGCTGATTTCTGATCTCTTCAAAGTCAAAGTGGAGGTAGGAGAGTGAGGGGATAGGGCTAGGAAATAAAAGGAGTCAACGCTATTGTCAGTTGACTTTCTGCTTTCCAGGCCTGCCTGAAGATTATTAGTATTATTTCATACACGCTGTGCTAAGGAAGTTCACAAATTGAAAAATATGTTCCATACTCTTAAAGAGTTGATAACCTAACTTGGAAAAGAAGGCTTGATAGCCCAATTGGGAAGATAAGGCATCAAAAGAAATGGAAACATCACATGTGGCTATATTGTGGTATCTGCCAACATTGCCTAACTACACGTTTGTATAATGGTGAAGCAACTTAACACTATCTTACTCCTGCTCCTTGCCCCATTTCTAATACAATCATGGAAGCTCTGTTTGTTCTTTCCCTCCCACCTACCCCCAATATTTTCTCCTCACCCATGTGGTTCAAGTTAAGGATTTAGCTGGTAGATTGCTCTGAAATAGAATATGAATAGGAAGATAGTCATAGTGTAGAGAGAAGGCTGAAATCACCTATAAGATTTCACAAATAAAATTGGAACTCAGTTGAGTTCTGAAAGCTGGAAGCAGTTTGGCTAGACAAAGGTGAATGTAGGGACATTTCAATCAAAAGAACAATCTGGAAACAGGAATGAGCATGGTGCATTGGTGTAACAATTAAGAAACTGGCTGGCTGGAGCATGAAGTTCCAGTTGGGAATGAATTTATTTCATTCAGTAAACATTTAGTGAACATTTACTATGTTCCAGTCACTGAGTTTAGGCAAAAGAAATACAAGGAGCATAAAGACATGTTCCTTGCCCCTTACACCTCAAATCTTATGTTGTAACAGCCTCAGTTTCCCTATCTCAAAATGAAGAGATTGGACAGATGTTAAGATAATATCCAACCTAAGTATTCTCTGATTCTGTTTTTAAAAAGTCAAGTTACGTATGTATGAGTAACCTGTGTCATATTTATAACTTTACACTTTAAATGTACATATTAAATTGAAATATTTACCAAGGATAAAAGGCACATTTGGTACCAGCATAGGTATGGAGTTTTGTCTGTAGGGTTTTTCAAGTCATTAAGATTGTAAGCTATTTTGCTCTTTAACCATTTAAATCACTGTGTTTTTCCCATGACCCCTTTACGCGAAGGCAATGTTAGACTTCATCATTTTATACATTCCTTGAGAAAGTTTGAGAATTGCTTTTATGCCCTCATAATCATCAACAATAAATATTTATGTAGCTCTACTATATACTTGGAATTGTGCTCAGTGATAGGGGTTCAAAGAGCTATATATAAACTACAGTTCCCATCCATGAGATTTACTGATAGGTAAGTAGGTGGTTTACTGGGCCATTATTTATAACTCTTTCTTTTTATTCAAAATTTTCATTTCCTTTCCTAACTCTTACATTTTAGAATCAAATGCTATGTGTTATATCAAAATATTAAAATTCACACAGTTCAGATTTCCTTTAGAGAGTCTTCCTTATTTAAAGAAAATGACAATATGGTCCCTGAAAGCATACGTACAGGGACATAAAAAAACACCCGTCAAAGTGCATTTCGAAATAAATCCCCAGTAAATATATATTTATGGAAGTCATGATAAGTAAATTTTTTTTTTAAGATTTTATTTTTTTCCTTTATCTCCCCAAAGCCCCCTGGTACATAGTTGTATATTCTTCGTTGTGGGTCCTTCTAGTTGTGGCATGTGGGACGCTGCCTCAGCGTGGTTTGATGAGCAGTGCCATGTCCATGCCCAGGATTCGAACCAACGAAACACTGGTCCGCCTGCAGCAGGGCGCTTGAACTCAACCACTCGGCCACGGGGCCAGCCCCCATGATAAGTAAATTTAATATTTACCCTGTTTCCCTGTGAGCGGAATTCTGGGTGATAGTTAATTTCTTCTTAGGCTCTTTTGCCTTTTCTATAATTTCCATGAAAAAAATATAAATAAGTGAACATTTGAAATCTCTTTTAACTTTTTCTCCCTCATCTGCATGTTGCCTACAACACAACTAAGAGGACCTAAAAAATTAAGCCCGGTTTTATACTTTGATACTACACACTTGACTCTGGAAACAAACAAATATATTTTCATCCTGTTACTGAGTCATGTAGTATCTTTCCCTGAATATAAATATGACTATATATATATTCATTTTTTTAAAAATTAAAATAATGGCAATTATGTATTAGGACTGAGTTAACGACATTGATGTGAGTTTCATGCATCCTTTTTCTTTATCTTCTTCTTTTCTAGTGCAAGGGTGTGACTAAAATCTGTCATTACATAATTGCTCTGCCACCTGATCTTGCAGGACCAGAAACACAAATTCAAGAACTTATTACCCCTGAAGAAAAGCCACCTGGGGTGCAAGTGGTAAGCAGTTTTTTAAAAAGATTTATCATTAATATAAAGCATTTAGAAAAGATTTGTAAATATCAATCAAATCATCTCTAATTTAACACAGCAATCATTTATGGGTTTTTCGGTTTCCTTCCAATGTTTCTCAATGTATACAGTATATAAGATGATGTAATCATATCTTGCTTTTCCATATAGTCGTTGCATTAATTTTAAGTGATTGCATTATATATCATTGAATTTATATACCATAATTTCTTTAATCATTCAATTATTGTTAGATTATTTAGATTGTCACTAGTTTTTAGGTATTAATGGTAAAGTTGATATAATTATCTTTGTGAGTCTAATGTATTTTTAACCATTCAAATAATTTGCTTGAGTATATTCCTGTGATTCTGATTATGGTGATAGAGTATACAATTGTGTTAAGACTATTTGTATTATCAAATTATCTACCAGAAGAACTCTACCAAATTAAACCCTGTATTTTCACCAATATTGAGTTTTATCTCTTTTCCTAATTCTTGCTAGAATTGTAAAATCGAACCTCATTTTGGTTTTAATACATATTTAATTGCTTGTACATTTTTCTTTTATGCTATATGGTTCTCCTATTTTCTCAGTTTATCTTTATTATTAAAATTAATTTTTCTAATTTAAAAGCAATTACTGCTTATTGTATAAATGTGGAAAATATAGAAAAGCATTTGAATTGTTTTAACCATTAATAATATTTGTGTATTTTCTTCCAGTGTTTCTTCTATTCATATTTTACTTATATAATTATGACATGCACACACATATATTTATATAATTTAATCATATGAACATAATTTACTTGATATTTTCTTCATTGTTGGTGTTCAAATTATTTCAAGTTCCTGCTATGTTGCTATTATATATACTGCTTTGATGTACATAACTGTGCATCTTCACGCACAAAGGTTTTTTTCAGGCTTAGATGCTTAGGCATGGAATTACTGGTCCAAGGGTTATGAACATTTTTAAGTTTCTTAATACATATATAAAAATTGCTTTTCTCAAGGGTTGTATCAGTTTGCACTTCTGTCCGCACCATACCTATATAACCATTTCATTATGCTTTTGCTATTTAAACAAATAGAATTATCTAGGTGAAAAATAGTCATAGTCATTATCTTAGTCATATTTTGGTTCCTCTTATAATTAATGAGGTTAAATGTTTTCCATTATATTTATTAGCCAGTTTTACTTCTTTTTAGCTGAATTGCCTATTCATAACCCTTGTCCATTTAACCACTGGAGTCTTAGTGGATTTTTGTGCATTTTATGTTACTTATATATATGTGTTCCAAATTTATTGTAAAGATTTTCATGCTGCATTGAGATAAGGAATTTTTAAGATCAGAAATAAGAAACCTGGAGATTAATTCCCAATGAAGTCAGCTTGCATATTCTAAGTACATTATTTTAGCTCAACTAGGATATTATTGCATCACTCTTAGTATATGAGTTTCCAGTACTTTTATAAAGTAATGTTATTATGACTTATATCTGCTTAAACAAAGAGCAAAATAACCTCCAGACTTACTTCAACTGAAAAAATGATTTAACATGAAATTTTTTAAGCTATAATTGGAAGTAATCCTTCAAATGTCTTGCTTGTATTTTCAGAATCATTTTCCCTTATTGCTAAGTCAGACTTTATTGTTATCTATGTACAGATAACAAAATTATTATTATAGTTGCATGGACACCTAATCTGAATGATTTAATGAAAGAGAGAAGGTAGAAATTTTTAATACAGAATTATTTGGATTGAAATAGTCAGTTAATGACCTGAAAAAATGGATAAACCTTTAAAATAGAAGCTGTTACCTTGTTGTTCAATTGGATCAAGGATGTCATTAAACTGTAAACTGGATGCGAAAAGGATAGGACATTAAATGCTGATGGTAATTTACACAAAGTAATGATTTAAAATATTGAGTAATAATTTGGCTGTCATTTGTAGAGTCAGATAGAATTTTAACCTTCTTATGCAAAAAATACAAATCCAAAACATGTTAGGAAATAAACTTTTCATAAATGTACATCAAATAAATTGAAACAATGGTAGAAATTAGTATGAGGATTAAATAGTTTTCTTAAAATCCCTACTTTACCACTAATTACCAAGATGGGAACTTGAACAAGTTATATTTCCCTTCCAAATCTCAATTTATTCTATGTAAAATGCAGGACTTGGGTGAATGACAACTGAGGTCACTTATAGTTCTACGAATCTAATATGGTTTTACAGGCCCACAATTTTTCTTCCCATAGTGGCCTCTCAAAGAAATCATTAACTAGTGCATACATTCTGCCATGTAATTAATTAATTCCTAACATGGAAATGGATTGAGTATTATTGATTATCATCAAAATGTTTGTTTTGTAGCTATAGATTCTGGTGTATTTTGGGTAACAGGAAAGTATTAGGAGTTTGAAAGATAAGTAAAATTCTCCCAGCTGACTATTGGTGAGGCACACTTAATAGGGGAGGATCTAGATTTTGAAGAGCTTGAACCTTACACAGTTTGACGGTCCCTCCTTAAAAAAAATACAAAATTATGTACAAATTGAAATTTGGAATGAAAAAAATAACAAGTTACAAAATTTTTAGAAATTGACAAATATTACAAACATAAAATATCCCCAGGGCCTTGGAAGGGGCCTGTACAAGTGAGGGGCCCTAAAACTTAAGCTACATTGACTTCACGGTAAATCTGTCTCTCGGATTAGGCATGTTTTTTTCTCTGCATACTTCTCTCTGGCTCCATTCCTTATCTTTTAACAGTTCTTCTAACTCCATAGACACAAGTAACGTGAAAGAAGAAAATAGCACTGGAGGTCAAACAGTAAATACTATATAGATATGACTTTTGTGTCAGCAAGTAATATTCCAAGCCAGTATACTTCCCTCCATGTCAGCTGCCTGAATTATTCTTGCTATATTACATTAAACACTGGCCACAAAGTTGCAACTTCTTTGGCATGGGTGAAGAGTTTATGAGATGCTTTCATTTAGATGGCTACAGAAACCCACCCACAAATGTGGGCCTATACCAACCACAATTAGAATAACTAGTATTTTTCCAACTGGGACCATTATTTCATGTCCAGGGAAGTGTACTGGCACAATGGCACCATGTCTGCCAACATCTTGTCACACTCATCTTTCATCTAAGATGCCTGGCTCCATGTGCTTTTCGTGCACTTGTGCGGGGATAATTATGACCATCAATTTGATCAAGGATTGTGAAGACTCATATGTTTTCATTGTCATAACCCATAAATTCTTGTACAATCTGAGATTTGCATTATACACCATGGTTTTTCACTCGCAGTTTCTTCTATTTGGGGCAACCATCTCAAATACAGTATTTGTAACATTGCAATCCTGTGAATAGCCGATGATATCATAGTTGATTTTGAGATCTATCATATTTCAGAAAATTGTGACGTCTATGCCAACTCTTGGGTTTCCGCATCAGCAATTGAAAAGAAAAATTAAAGGCACAAAATTTAATTGTACCTTTGGGATATAACGTACAGCATTCTAATTAATGGATGTAGGTATAAAACAATATGCCTTGTTGAGGAACCTAACAGTACAAGAAAGCTGCCTAGAGTGATTAGATGGCAGGAAAAAATCAACCTTAATGCCTTTACAAAGGGAGAAATCTAAGAAGTAACTGTATTTATCTAAGTCAATGGAAAGTTTTTAGCATTTTTTTAACACTTAAAAATCCAATAGGCTACTCTGTGGGCTTTTTATTTTAAAGTAAATCACTAGTGGAATCATTTCTAAGTGTAAGAAAAATTAAAGTTACAAAATACATGTCTGTATGTTGAAATATTGCATGGCCACAAGATATTTTCATTGTAAAGATGCATCATCTAGAAGGAGTGTTTTGTGTTCCCAGAATGTGTCATTACAGCACATTCTGAAAAATCTATCATTTAGCTCAAAAAAAGTGGCTGTCCCCTACTACCCTCTGAAACAAAGTTTCAGATTCTATTCCTATGTGAAAATGGCAAATTATTATCTATGTTTCAAAATTATCCAGCTTAAATGATTCATCTCTGCTCAGGAAGAGAAGCCTAGAATTACTTGGCTGACTGACATTTTGTTTCTATTCAAGTGGCGGGACCCGGGAGATAAAACCAGGAGCCCACAATTAGGCACTAGGCTTACTGTGTTCTCCATGGGTCTTTCTGCAGTAACTCTTTGACCAACGACCCTGGTAGGTTTCCAGCAATAGCTAGTCTGGGTGAGATATCTGTGCTAAATTATCTTCATCAGGAAGATGCTTTACAATAGCTCAGATTTAAAGAAGGAACTATAGATTTGAAACTCACAGAGTACCTGCCTGTCATTTTGCTTCCCTTCTTTCTGCCATTCCATCTCACTTCTTTACCTCCACCCTCTCTCTCACTTGCTCTAAGTGTGACAGGATCAGTTACTCGCCTAACTCACAGCCTTCCTCCATGAATATTTCCCCCAGTGCTATGGGAATGTGGCGATAAATGCCAGTTCTATGAATTAAAATTTAAGGGATGTCCATGATCCTAAAAATAAATCCTGGAAGACACAATTCCATACATTTTGTGCTTTTGAATAAGAAAAACGCGTTTCGAATTTAGTATGTCTTATTCAATTTTTTAAAATCTGCATATGTATAAATAGCTAATATTTATACCACATCATAGTTCACTTTCACATCCATCATTTCTTTTGAAACGCATACCATCATCCTATTGGGTCCTCAAAACGACTTGTGATAGGCCAGGAAATATTTTCATACTGATTTTTAAAATTAAGAAATTGAGACCCAGATACGTTATATCACTCTTTATCCCTGCTTGTCACTGCTATCTATCAAGTTCAGTGGGATTGTCAATATCACTTATTTATTTAATCACCTGTGGTCAGCTGTCTTTTTCTCAGAAGCTAATCCAAAATTTCACCACTTCCAAAAAAGGCCCCC